GAAGTACACTGCTGAGGGGAGCAGCGGGCGGGTCAGGAGAGGTCTGTCGCGCCATGTGGTCACCTCTGGGGCAGGCAGGAATGGAACTCATGCGAAAGTGGCCTCAGCTTTTCAGTGCAGTGCTATAACCCGCCACCAGGGAGGGCCCTCAATGCTCTGTTTTTTATTTTAGGAAATTGAAACTTCCCATGACACAAAGCCAAAAAATTGCTCATGATCTAGAAAACCAATACACAGTCTATGAAACTTTATTTACTCAAAACAAAATGAAATGTCATTGTCTTTTCTGTATAGAAGACTTCAGGGAGCTGCCTAAATCCTTCTGGGTTAGGAAGCTTGTTGATTGCAATAACCCTTAGGACTATTATCATGGCCATGTGATAAAATCTGGTCTGACATAAAATGCAGATAATGCTATTTAACTTCATATCCTCTCTTCCATTCTATAACAAAGAACCCCTGAATTTTATAAATTTTTAAAGAAGTATTTATTCATACAGAACTGGGGTACAAGCCAGAGGTTCAGGGGTGGTGAGAGGCTTTACCAGAGACAGAGTGGGGAGTAGAACAGCAGATTGACAAAGTACACTCAGTGCTGAGGGGAGCAGCAGGGGGTTTAGGAGAGGTCTGCCACACCATGTGGATCACCTCTGGGACTGGGGATCAAATTCACACTGAAGTGGCTGCGGCTAGCTTGCACTGTTGCGTCCTAATCTGCTGCACTACCAGGGAGGGCACAGAACCTCTGAATTTTAATGAGATGCATGTTGACTAGAATAGAGACTACCTATCTCAAGCACCCCTGCAGCTATAATCTGGCAAATATCAGGTAACTGAAAGCAATATGCATTATTTCCCTTACAGGGAGAGGTCAGGCTCTCCCCTTTTCTTCCCTTTTTGATAGCTGGAATGTGACACAGGGGTCACCAGTTTAGAATATATACAGACAGAGCAATATACAAGGGAGAGCAGGAACACAGTAAAATCTGGGTTTCAGCTGATTTTCCAGATGAGAGGTGACAATGGTTAACCTTCCACATGAGAAAATTATCATGTAAACAACTCCTGGGTTTTTATTACATACAACCACACCTATATTCTAGTTGAATACAAAATAAGAGAAAACAATATCCCCATTACATCTTCTCTGTAAAAAACCAAAAAATCTCAAGACATTTGGACTCTAGAACAGGCTTTGCCTGATGCTAAATTTTTCCCTTAAAATGTGCAAAAAGACCCTCCCTGGTGGCACAGCGGGTTAAAGCACAGCACTGAGAAGCTAAAGCCACTTCCGCATGAGTTCAATTCCCGCCTGCCCTGGAGGTGACCACATGGCGTGGCAGACCTCTCCTGACCTGCCCGATGCTCCCCTCAGCAGTGTACTTTATAGATCTGCCTGTTCTGCTCTCCACTCTGTCTCTGGTGAAGCCTCTCACCGCCCCTAAGCCTCTGGCCTGTACCCCAGTTCTGTATGAACAAATAAATAAATCTTTAAAAAAAAAAATGTGCAAAAATTTTGGACCCTCCCTGGTGGTTCAAGGGGTTAAAAGCGCAGCTCTATGAAGCTATCTGCTGAAGCTATCAGCAACCACTGCAGCACAAGTTTGATCCCTGGCCAGGGAGGTGTCCCACAACGTGGCAGACCTCTCCTGTCTTACCCACAGCTCCCCTCAGCAGTGTATTTTCAGCCGATCTGCCTTTTCTGATGCCCACTGTGTCTGATGAATCCTCTTAGTCCCCACCACCCAAACTCTGGCCTATACCCCAGTTCTTGTATACATAAATAACACTTTTTAAAAATGTGCAAATTGGCCCTCCCTGGCGGCACAGCAGGTCAAAGCACAACTTTAAAGCACAAGAAGTTTAAGCTACTTCAGCATGAGTTTGATCCCCGCCCTAGAGGTGACCCAGATGGCACAGCAGACCTCTCCTGCCCCGTCCGCTGCTCCCCTCAGCAGTGTACTTCATTGATCTGCTTCTTCTGCTCCCCACTATGTCTCTGGTGAATCATTTCACCACCCCTGCACCTCTGGCCTGTGCCCCAGTTCTGTATGCATAAATAAATACATCTTTTTAAAAAAAAAAAAGTTCAATTTTTTAAAAATATAATAGTTTTACTTTTACATCATTTTGAACTTTTTTTTCATCTCAGTTGTAATCACCGTGGGTTTCCCATCACCAAGTCATCCATGTGCCATCACCATATTCCCGTGCACTTCCCTCCCAGCCTCCAACCCCCCATTTTTGATCCCATTCCCCACTCTACCCCCAAAAAATGTCTCTGGTATATGACTGTTCATTATTCTTATTATTTTCTCGCCTGGTCCATTATACTCCTGCTATGAGTGAAACCATCCAGTATTTTTGTTTTTCTTTCTGGCTTATCTCACTAAGCATGATCTTTCCAACTTGGATGGATCTTTCCAGCTCCATCCAAGTTGCTGCAAAAGTCATGTGTTTCTTTTTTTTGGTTGCTGAGTAATATTCCATTGTATATATGTTCATCTAAAAAAAGTTCAATTTTTAAAAAATTTTTTAAAAATAAAGTAAATTAAGGTAATACTGCTTATAGTTCATGGTCCTGGTTGTTTTCTTTCTTTAAGGCACAAAAAGCTGTTTTGGCATTCACATAGTTTTTTTTTTATTGGTATTCATACACTTAATGAATAGTTGCCCTAAATAAGTATTTCTTACTGGTGGTGTGGCAGGTTAAAGCGCTAAAGCTACTGCAGCATGAGTTCAATCCCCACCCTGGGAGGTGGCCACATGGCGCGGCAGACCTCTCCTGACCCGCCTGCTGCTCCCCTCAGCAGTCGGCCTGTTCTGCTCCCCGCTCTGTCTCTGGTGAATCTTCTCACCACCCCTGCACCTCTGGCCTGTACCCCAGTTCTGTTATGCATAAATAAAATAAAATCTTTAAAAAAAAATAAGTATTTCTAATTTCAATATGATGGTTACAGTTTCACCTCCAAAGCTAAAATTGCTTTGTAAAATGTGATTGACTCAAACTAAGTAGATTGTCTTAGGAGAAACTGTGTCAGGTATAGATGAAATGATACATAAAATCTCTTAACTTCTCTCCCTGTACTTAATTTAAACCAGATTATATCCTTAACCCTGTATTAAACAGAAGTTTATGAAACACATTCAGATAACCAATGGCTCAAAGCCAAGAGTAGATGAACCCCTTCTCCCTATTCTGCATAAAACATTACTCCATGATACTTTGAAGTTGGTAGCTTCTGTGAACAGTATCTTTTTTAATTATTATTAGATTGCTGAACCATCTTGGTTCTAAAAACTCTCTTGTTGATTCTTGAGTTTCTACACTAGTCACATTTTCTATGTTAGTTAAAATGATGAAAATGGGGTTAAAATTTTCAAGCAGATAAAATGAAGCTACTGTCAATGAGCACTATTACGTTGGCTCTGGTGAACTTAAGAAGTAATAAAAATTTTATCATTTCAACATCATGGAAATGATAAAATTATGAAGGTTTGCCTTTTTTTCCTTGTGAAAAGATCAAAGTTTTAATAAATAAATAAATCTTTTAAAAAAAATCAAAGTTTTTCCACATCCTAAACAAAATCAGGTACAATTTTTTTTCTAAATTCCTATTCTACTAGAAATGATAAAAGCAATTATAACTTAATTTAAATCTTAATCCATATTTAGACAAGCCAATTGCTAACTTAATTTCTATCTCTTTGGAAGCCCTAATGTTACCTATCATTTTAAATTAAGGAAAAATATGGATTCTTTGAACTTTCCAGGAATACAGGTACAGTATAAGTTAATTAAGGTCATTCTAAATCTTACCACTAAGTAGTTCTGCAAACACTATAGTGAAAGATGTGCTGATTAACTGGAAAATTGAGACAAGAGTTTTCCTGTAAGGGATTACAACAATGTCAGTTGTGTCATTCACTGCGCAAGCAAGGGTTATACATTTAGCAGAAACAGTGAATGAAAAGTCAAGAAGTCTGGGTTCTAGTAGCAGTTTTATTTGCAACTAATCACATACAAATCACATATCTATAAAATAATGATTAACACCTATTCCCTAATCACAAACACATCACAAAGCCAAAATTCTTCCCAGAAAACCTCTTTGTAAACAAAGATGTTAACTATTAAGCATATGTTTTAACTGAAAGATTGAAAATGATAAATTGAAAAATTTGTCATTTATAAATTGGTAGAATACTACCTTATTTCTGTAGATAGATAGATAATCTGGTTGAGATCATCACTGTCCTATTTCAATCTGACAAGATAAAAAGCAATCCACAAGAAGTTACTAAAGAGAAGTTGGCCCCCCCAAAAAATAAATAAAATAAGTAACAGTATTGTGTCAAATATAGTGCTGTAACAACCCTGTGGTCATATGGAACAAATATAGTCATAGACAACTAAAAGCATGTTTGCCTGTTTGAAGGAAAACTTATACTGCTAGGATAGAATCTTATTTTACTAAAAATGTTCACCAGGAACATTTTGTAAAATCTTCAAGTGGCCAATCAAAGTGGCTAAGAAGGGGCAAAAAAAACTTTTTGGGTCTCTCCTTTCTCTTGATTTTCATTCCTCCTACAGTATTTCATTCAAAAATTCTGCCTGAAAGCACATTCCTCTGTACTTTACCAGAGTGTAAGAAGTGTTACCATTTTGTCACTAGAGAAACACAGAGGAAGAATTATCATGTTGTTGAATGAAGATTCAGGAAGATAATTATCACCGGATATGGAAAAATTTATACACTTACAAACATGTGGTCATTTATCGTGTATAAGTATCATAAACACAGATAACCATATCTGCAAACAAACCCATAAGAGGTAAGCACTTCTGTCTTCTTCTATTAAACAACATCAGAGTTGGGTAATTTAGTCTCTCTTTCTGAACTTTCCCTTAGATATGGTGACAGAAACCAAGACTGTAGCATGGTTTACAGAGAAACATAAAACAGATACATGTACCATAATAAAATAGCTGTGTATACCATTGCGTAGGGAAATATTTTTGACAAAACATACTTTCACTACTGGCCTCAAATGCCATCATCCACTTGCCTTATTTAACTGTAAACTTTTAATACAAAAATACCTTTAAGCTGATAATAACATTTAGTAACTTACAAAACTGACAGAATATGTCAATGCCACACAAAACAGTTCTCTACACAACTTACAGTTTTAAATTCTCTGCTGGCACTTGATTTTATAGTTGATAGACACAATAACTACTTATCTCAATAAAATACTGTTCTTAGCTTATACATATTTTCACAGTCAGTATTACCTCACGAAACAGTAAAGAATAATCACATATTTTGTTGACAAATTCTCTAAGATGAACACACAAAACTGTACAGCAAAAAATATTTTATAATCACATAAGCTTTTATAAGATAATGGATAAAAATGTACACAATCATGTCCAGTGAAAAAAGTATGCCTCTGATTCAATGAAGCATGTATCAAGTATAGATAAAAAAATATGAACCTTAAAGCAGTTACTGTTTTGTCTTTAAAGGTTTTAGATAGCTGATGATTCTACTAGAATGAAATACTTTTAGATGGAGAATTGGTCATTTTTTGTAAATACACATTTTATATTACAAAATTAAAACTGAAATATATTTTGAACAGTATAATCCTGTTTTTTGTTTGTACTCCTCTGTACTTTATTCTTTCTTTGAACTTATACAAAATTATACAACAAATGAAATCACCATTCAGTCACATCAAACATTTTTTTTCCACAAAAAGAAAGGAAACTCAAAGTTAGCAAACTATAACGTATAACATATTTTGCAAAACCCCACTAATTTATAGTTTTGGAACTCTATTATACTATTCGAAAGGAAAATATATACTTTCAAAGCCTATTTAACTAATTCCTACCCAATCAGTTTTCTGTTATGAAAACTAAAATTCGTTACAGTACTTGTGGCACTACACAGTAATTCTTAATAATAAAGATTAAATTAACATAAATTAACATAAATAACATAAATAAACAATAATACATTAAAATAAATAAACATAAGTATCTTAAACAACCAAATCAGTATTGTAAATGAAACAGGTTGACTTCAGTGCTTAAATTCTTTAACATAAAACTATGTTAGTATTTCAAACAAAACTCTTTTAAGACCAAATCAAACTTTCTTTTCTCCTGAAGAATGGAAAAAGTATCTAGCTAGGCTACTTTCCAAACCAGAAAAAAATATCTTAGGGTTTCAACACATCTAGAACAAACTCTGCTTATCCCAAGTTACTGAGGTGCCACCTGTACCCACAAATCATCATCAGATAAAGAACTTGAACTTCCTGACTCTGAATCCAGCTCACTGAATCCACCTAAGTCCCATTCAGTACTAGATTCACTAGGTACCTCTTCTTCCTCTGTGAGGAAACTCTGACCAGATTCAAGACAAGAAGGATAAACACGAGCTGAGAGGCAAAAAAAGTTGGAATCAAACTGGAAGAGGCCTAATGTGGTACCTATATTAATCCACTGGTCTGCCCCAATGTCATATTCATATACTGTCACTCGATTTTTTTTCCATTGTGGGGTGCGTGAGGTGATCAGCAGTAATTTTTGGCCATGATTAATAATCCGGTAGTTGTTGGTCTCTGACACCATGGGAATATTATTTATCTGCCTCCATTCTCCTCTGACTGGATTATAGACCTTCATGACAGGGAGATCACAGATACAATAGATTTCATCATTGAAGACACAGGCTTCCTGAAAGTCATTGCGCTTGAGAGAAACACACTTCAGCCATATATTATGGCTAGGATCATAGCAGAACATGCGCTTACTGTTGAGAGCATAAAGATAGTTCTGAATTACCATTAGGTCAAAAGATATGAAAGAATGGGGTAGTGGAGCCACCAGTACCCACTGGTTCCTCTGAACACTGTAGCATTCCACTTCCTTCAATTTAACTCCAGTGATAGGGTCTCGCCCACCCAAAATGTAAATATAGCCATTGAGATATGCCACATCCATGCCTTCCCGGCACAGTAAGCGGTCTGCAAGTTGCTGCCAACTGTTCTGGGCAGGTTTATACACCCAGAGGTCCTTCCTGGGCTGGGCAGCTAGATAAATGTCATGGTCTGGAGAAACACAGACTGCTAAGGTAGTTACAGACCTAGTGTGAGCAAGGCAGGTCACAGGTGATGGCACTTTGTAAATGTCCCCAGAGTATGGGTCACAGCACAGAAAGGGATCTCTAGGGTGACCAAAGAAGATCACCATTTTCTTGGCACACACACCCAGCCTCTGGGGTGGATTTTCTGCTGCAGATACAACAGAGCTGCTGCTGGTCTCTGGCACTGGCACCAGAGACTTGCACAACATGTCACCATAACGCAGCTGCAGGGCTCCTTCGATAAGGTCAAGGCAGTACTTCTTCACAATGGTATTGGTCAGCAGCCCTTCCAGGTAAGTCTGATCCTTATCAGTGAAGTGTGCCCAACGCACACACTTGAAGACTTCTGCAGCACTGGGACCCCGCTCCTTGGGAGCTGCCTCCAACCACTGCACCGCCACATGACATACTGTTTGCTCTTGCTCTATGTTTAGACTATCTAGCCGTAAGACAGTCAGCATCTGGGCCAGGGTCAGGTCTGCCAGAGTCTCCTCCCGAATTGAACCCATCTGACTAAGTTGCTTGAAGTTGTGGGCTATAAAGGCCTGGGCTTGTGATCGGAGCTTTCGATGGCCGAAGGCATCCGCGAACTTGAAGATGGCAGTGCAGTTGGTCAGGTCAAGGCGCCGGGCTAGGAAGGAGGCACAGGCTTCCCGCACATATTCCAGCTGTAGCATGTCAGATGCCGCATAAAGGCGCTCCACGTTGGCCTCACTCAGGGACACACGACCCGTGTAGCAATAGTCCACCAACACCTCAAAGGACTCGGCGTCCACGTCGTGCATGGTCACGCTCGCCTGCTGGCTCTCGTACATGCCGCCAGTGAACATGCTCTTGAAGTAGGGACACGCGGCAGCCAGCACGTTACGGTTGCAGAAAAAAAGGCGGCCGGTGCCAGGCCCACTGCCAGGAGTGACCACCTCGATGGTCACATCACACAGCAACCGTGCGTCGTAAAAGGACTTGAGCTGTGCCAGCAGGGCGGCCGAATGGGCTGTGTCCTTTAGCTCTTCTGGGCCAGTGAAAAACGCCGATACTGTGGGCTTGTGAATTCTCTTGGGCCGCTTTCCACCGCGGGCACTGGCAAGGCGCCGAGAGCGCGGAGCCTCTTCCCGGGACTGCATGTTGGAGATGGCGGCGGGGTGCCAAGAGAACAGGTGCACGGACCGGGCTCTGGTTCCTCCTGAGCCTCCTCTCACTGGCTCTAAGCTCTCGGTGTCTCTGGAGAGACTGTAGCACGTGTCCATTTACTAATTCAGCCCCACTCCACGGTGCCACCTCCCTCTATTGCGTAGACCGTGTCTGACTCACCCTTTTCCAGTTCTGCGCCCTTTCTCTGCCTCAGCTCGCCCTCACAGGAACCGCTGGCTGGAGCCAAGAAAGCCGCTACCGCTGCGTTGGCAAAACCGGTAGGCGTCTAGGAGAACTACAGCTCCCAGGTAGCCTTTCGCGCCTCGAGGCATGCTGGGGCCCTCAGACTAATGGGTTTAGGCCACTGGACAGAGGCCGCTTTGCATAACGGGAATAGTAGTTTCAATAATATCGCGAGATAGTGGCCGTTCATTGTTCAAGCTGACGGAATTAAAAATCGGTAATTCTCCTCGATTTGGTTTTACGGTTTCGAACCTTGGGTTCAGAATCCGCATTAGCCGCCTGTTCTGTATTTATCGATCGTTTGCCTTCTCTGTCAGAACTATGTCCTGTTTCTAAAATATGAGCAACTGTAGTATCAGAGCGTTACGTGAAGATTGAATAGGAAAAATTACGTCAGATACTACTCTAAATATAGAATATTAGACTAATTAATAAGGTATGTTCGCGTCACCTATAATAAAGGGTTTAATAAGTTTGAGCGTTTGTCTAGCATTTGTGCAAAATGAAGCATCCTCTAATTTGAATTTGTGAAACTATCGGAGTTAAAAAAAAAAAACCTGCTGATTTCTACAGAAATCCCTTTAGGTTTCTGTAGAAACCCAGATCATTTTAGGTTTACCGTATAGAGAGTAGAAATTACAAGAAGCTCAAATAAACTCTACTCTTTCACAGCTCCTCCATTAACAGCTTGCATTAGTATGTATAGTTGTTACAAGTAATGAGTTTATACTGATAGTATTATTACTAATTAAAGCATATAGTTTATAATAGTTTACTCTTTGTAGTAAAATGTATGCATTTTGGAAAATGTACAGTGTCCTGTATCCACCATTACAGTAGCAGAATGTTTCATTTCCCCTAGTAATCATTTGTGTTCAGTTTATGTTTCAGCCTTCTCTCCCACACCTGGGAACCACTGATTTTCTTACTGTTGATACAGTTTTACCCTTCCCAGACTGTCAAATAGTTTGATATCATACAGTATGTAGCATTTTAATATGTCATCTTTTACTTAGCAATATGCATTTCTATTTCCTCCCCATCTTTTCAAGACTTAATAGCTCTTTTTTTATCTTTGTACAAAATTCCATTGTATTATATTTTAGTTATCTTTTTACCTGTTATTTACCCGAGAATACTCATCTACTGGGCTTTCTTTCCATGGATGTAAGTTTTCAACTCCTTTTTTGGCACATACATACCATGGAGTGTGACTGCTGGATCCTATCAGCTGTTAAGGAACTGCCAAAATGATTTCCAAAAGGGCAGCTGTCCTGTTTTGCATTCCTAACAGTAATTATTGCATATTTTCATAGCATGCACAGTGCAGTTAGTATATAAGCTAACCTAGAGATGATTAAAGTATGAAAAGCCATATGTAGGTTACATGCAAATAACTATGCCATTTTACACAAGATATTTATGTCTTTTCAACAGATCTGTATGGGGTACAAATCTGTATTTGTTGAAAAGACATAAATATCTTGAAAAGACAGGGAGTGACTGCATAAAATCTTAAAAATAAATTGTGTTCAGTTAAAGCAAAGAGATGTATAAAGATTTATCTTTTGTTTTTAATGGTGAAAGTATTTAATGTGAGAACAGAGTCCAGGTCATTAAACCATGCTGCATATGAGAAGAATGAAGTCACAGTGGTGGGTTGATGCACAGGAAAATAATGTGAAAAGGAAAATACAGAAAACAGTAACAGATATAATAATAAACATGACAAAAGGTAGAATGCATTTTAGGAACATATTTGTCTAATCTATTCAGCAATAATTTTGGTCTATTTTGAAAGTCATTATTTTTGACTAAATAAAAGTTATATTGGAAAAAGTTTACTTTTTAAAATACATTGCTTATTAAAACTAAAAAACAAACCAAAAAAACCAAATTGTGCTTAGTGTTGAATTTTAACTTCTTCATCTATGTCCTTAACACTGTTATTTGCTTTAGATTATTAATCACAAAATGAAAAAATTTATTAGACACTGCACTGTAAGGCCTGCAGCAGTATCAATACCTGTGCTAGTCAGTATGGTAGCCTTTAACCACAGTGTCTCTTAAGTACTTGAAACATGACTAATGCAACTGAAGAACTGAAGTTTTGATTTTAAAAACAACATTGGCAGTAACTATTCAGTGAGGGAAAGGAAAGTCTATTCAACAAATGCTGTCAAATTAACTGGATCATAATGGGAAAAGCTAACCTTGAAACTGAATATGCTGAACTTTCCCAAAACCTGCTGCTCCAGGAAGCCAGTGATAATTTTGAAATTCCTTCAAATTTTTTTCTTCCCCAATTAACTCCTTTTTGCATTCTGAGTTCTGAGATAGCTTATCACAACTACCCACCTTTTCCCATATGACTTACATAAAACTCACTGACCACTCTTTTTCATGGATACTGTAGTACTCACAGATGACCCATTATTTACCTGTGAGAAGGTTAAACATAAATATTTCCATTTTTGCCTGAACCTGCCAACAATGTCAAAAGCAGTCGCTAATTTCTAGTCCTTTGTCTCATGAATGATTAACAGATTAAAGGCCTAACCATTCTAGCCCAATAGAAACATAAACATTTCCAGTTCAGCTGAGAAACTTCTGATTACAAAAACACTCTTAACTAACTCACTCTACCATTCCATGTATCACTTGTCTAACACCTCCACATAAAAGTCTAAGGGAAAAAAATGTACCTTTGGATCTGAGCTATTCTCCATGTTACAAAAGGATGAATAAAATTTCCTTTCTTAGTTGATTTTTGTCTTTATCATTGCTGGAATGGAAGTAGAAACCCAGCTCTAGGCCCATTTTCTCTCACTCAGGTCCTGAGGTCTCTCCAGTAAATATGCTGCTTCCCAGATTGGCAAAATGAGGATCTCATGGTAAATCCCAATCCTAATCCATGGGTTCCACACATCTGTCCTTGATAGCAAGGTAAGAGTTTGACCTTGATTCTTTGCGACTTCCCTTGGCTTGGTTTATTGTTATTGTTTAACTTTAGTAGTATAGGAAACTCTCTACCTACTTCTTAATATTCTTCAAAATTTCCACCATTTACATATTTCACCATGAAGGTGAAAGTTCAGATCATCAACTTCCTCAAATGGCAACATTTTATTGAGGATAAAGGACAATTTATAACTCCAGTGGCCCCTTTGGGACACTTGGAATTTCCCTAAACCTATCTATCACAAGGTATCAAGTCGCAAGACTTTTGAGATTACTTCTCATCAATTTTCAGTTTATTTTGCTTGGCATGAGACAGCTTAAAAATAAAAAATGTCTATAGTCCACCGCAAACTGTATAGTTTCCTAAGGACTCCTACCATCATCACTGATCTCACTTACAACCTAGCCCTTTGTTCTACATTGAGTCCTCCTTTTCCTGATTCTCTTTTTCTTCCCTTAGTTTTTTTTTTTTTTAAAGATTTATTTATTTGTGCATCCAGAACTGGGGAACAGGCCAGAGACTTAGGGGCGGTGAGAGGCTTCACCAGAAAGAGTGGGGAGCAGAACAGGCAGATCGATGAAGCACACTGCTGAGAGGAGCAGCGGGCGGGTCAGGAGAGGTCTGCCACGCCATGTGGTCACCTCCGGGGCAGGCGGGGATGGAACTCATGCGGAAGTGGCTTTAGCTTCTTAGTGCTGTGCTTTAACCCGCTGCGCCACCAGGGAGGGCCCCCTTCCCTTAGTTTTTTACCTTGAGTTCTTCTTCCACTTTGCCTCTCCTTGTCTCCATTAAATTGTTTACCATGAACTCCCCACCCAATCCTTGTTATTGATTCTTTCCCACCTGTGAAGGAAGGTAAATAACCTGTGTACCCACATAAACAAGATTTTTTTTTAGTCCTTGACCTCATCAGATTTAAATGTTGTTGTTAAAGTCCTTCTGGATCCCCATAATATAGAAGAATTTAGTAACAATTCAGATTGATCTGTGTGGTAGATTCTCCTAATATCCATGATTTATATCAACTTGTACAACTACTAGTGGGTATACCTAGAGAGGCCACTTTATTGTTAGAAAAAGTAAATGGACCACTCTTCAAGAGGATCTTTAAAGACATCAGAACAACCCTGAAACTGATATACAGAATTAAAACCATCACAGAAGACTTTTAAAATCCATTCCCACTGTCTTTCTTCAAAAATTGATTGGTTAAAGATACAAGACTCCAAAAAACAAAGAGAAGAATCTGTCTCTAACTATAGACATTTTTAAAAAGTTTGGAATGGCTTATCTGGTCTCACTTTTAACAATTGAACCTTTTCAACTTGGTCACTAGCTTAGCTTCCGTAAGTTTCTGACCAGAAATTAGATATATTATCCAAAACAGAATGTAAATTAGTGAAGTGATTACTCTGAAATACATACATTAGAACAACATCAAGAGGCCTCTGTTGCAGGAAATGGCCAGAACAACACCAAAGCAAACTCATGACTTTGTAACGCAGTTTGAAGGAAACAGCTGCTCCCTCTGAGACTTCATAGAAATAATTGTATGGATAGTAAGGAAAAGGAGCATTGGACTTCATATTGCCTAACCTCAAAAAGCAAAAGTAAAGAAGCCAGAAATACATATCTTCAATCACGTTCTTCCAAGAAGTCCTCCACTTTTTGTTCACAACTAAGTTGCTATATGTAAGGGTAAATAATCATGGCCACAACTAAGTTGCGATATGCAAGGGTAAATAACCATGGCTGCTAGTCACATCACACACCTTCCTAGTGGACACAGGGCCACAATTTCACCATTAATACAGTTCATGTTTAATTGTATCCAAAATCCACACATCGAATTCCTAACCACTGGTACTGCAGAATATGACTAATTTGGAGATAAGGTGTTTTTTTTTTTTTAAAGATTGATTTATTTATGCATACAGAACTGGGGTACAGACCAGAGGTGTAAGACCAGTGAGAGGATTCACCAGAGACAGAGTGGGGAGCAGAACAGGCAGATCAACCAAGTACACTGCTGAGGGG